ACAGTTAAATATATAAATGAAAACTATAAACACAAGTTGAAATCTGCATATGGTTCTATAGAAGTATATTAACATTGTGTGCCTATAAAAACACTATACGTCTTTCTAAAACACATGTAATACAGTTAAATATATAAATGAAAACTATAAACATAAGTTGAAATCTGTATGCAATCCTACAGAAGTATAGTAACACTGTTCGCCTATAGAAACACCGTCCGCTTTTGTAAAGCTAAAGTATTTTTTACGCAACAGCTGCTCAGGGAGAAATACGAGGCTACACCTGTGAAGAGTATCATATATGTTTGTTTGTTTGTTTTCGAATTTCGCGCAAAGCTACACGAGGGCTATCTGCGCTAGCCGTCCCTAATTTAGCAGTGTAAGACTAGAGGGAAGGCAGCTAGTCATCACCACCCACCGCCAACTCTTGGGCTACTCTTTTACCAACGAATAGTGGGATTGACCGTCACATTATAACACCCCCACGGCTGAAAGGGCGAACATGTTTGGTGTGACGAGGATTCGAACCCGCGACCCTCAGATTGCGAGTCGAGTGCCTTAACCACCTGGCCATGCCGGGCCGAAGAGTATCATATTTCTTGACTGCATGAATAATACGATATAGGATTCGATGATACAATTTCATAAGGTTCAGGTCAGATTGTTTAATTAACGAGGCGCTCGCAAAAGTATATGAAGTTCGATGGAAGACATGTGGAGTTAATGTGTTTTAAAATGAGCACAACTTGTAAACATCCTGTATATATGTTAAAATTTATTTGAGCTTTTTTGTTCGTTTTAGAATAAAGCCACATAGGGCCATATTTTGCTCTCACCGCGGGGAATCTAACCTCGGATTTGAACGTTGTAAATCCATAAACTTACCTTTGTCCCACGGAGGGACTTCCTTTAGCATTATAAATTTACAAGTACATTTTGAACAATTTTTATATGAACTTCATTGCGTACATTATATGATAATTTTTTAATATTAATCATATATCCAGATATTTTAATTAAAATTATTGTGGATTTTATATACGTTTTAGTCATATTAATAAAATTTAACTAAACGTTAGCCAAAAGAATTATAAATTCGGTACAAGAAAGATGATAAAAATATGAAAAACTATGCACCTTTTTGTGTCTTATTTTCTACATATTGAAACTTTAAACAAATGTATACATTTATGCAGTTAAATGGAGTACAACGCTAAAATAATTGCACAATATATAACTGATTGAAACAGGAACTAGCCCTAATATGACTCTACATGTTTCGGTGTTCTTACGCCACCATCTTCATTACCCATTCAAACCGGCTTCAAACAAGAGCTTAAGTTCAGTACTTCATTTAAATTCATCTTGTCTGATGAGATGTCCGTCTTTTCTTGTAACATTTCCATTCTGATGTCTATTCTTCGTCACTTTCCGTGTCATAATTAAACACTTTTCGTTTACGAGAAAGCATGAAATTAAGATCTTTTGGAGTAAGACAAATGAAGTGGTCACCGTCGGAAATTTCCGTATCTCCGTGGTCTTTCTTACCCACTGATCTTCGAGGGTAGCGGACTTCCTGTACTTCATCCCCGGAGTCATCTTTAAGAGCTTAACTACCTATACAGATAGTCTGCATCATATTAACGGAAAGATGCTGATTTGGCAAGTGATAGAGACTTACAGGGAACTTAAGTTGATTTTCAATTGCCATGTACAACTATATAAAAGCAATTTTTATAAGTGAAAAAAAAATATACTGACTATTATCAGCTTGTGAGTTCCGCGGAACACTATGACCGTTTAAAAAGTTTCAAATTGTTAGTGATTTGATTTTAATAGTAGATCTATTTATACTCACCGTGCGCTCACAGTAACCGGGTTCTCCTTTCTTCACAGACTTTCCAATGTACGGCCCCTAAACAATAAAAGTAATTCTTAATTTAGTCTTAACCAAAAGCATTTGGTTTGTTTCTGCAGTATTCCACAAGTGCAAACATACAAACAGGTGTGTACTGAAACTTATATATAAATATCTAGAAAAATAGACTACTTCACAATAATTTCCAAATTAACTATTGTTTTGTTTTCATCAAACGTACTTCACTTGGTCTGCCCACTGAACTGTATCCTATAAAAATATGTTAGGGATAATGTAACAGTTTCATTGAAACAGAAATGTATAAAAAGTAAACATTTCAGGCTAGTATAAGGCAACAACACTTACTCACATGCATATATATATATATATTTGTTTATTTATTCAAATATAAAGTTTGTTTGTTTGTTTGAAGTTAAGCACAAAGCTTCACAATGGGCTATCTGTGCTCTGTCCACCCGGGTATCGAAACCCGGTTTCTAGCGTTGTAAGTCCGCAGACATACCGCTGTGCCATTGGGTGGCCCCCTACATAAGTAGCCACTGAGTCAATTTTACAAGCTTGCGGAAATTAGCCATTATAAGACTTTATAGCATTATTCAGTTTAAATGCTTTTATTCAAACATTTAGTTGTAGATAAAAGTTTTTCTTGGAAAGATTTGGCTACTTGTGCAGTGATTTCTTTGTATGGTTTTGTGTTTCTCATCCCTACCTTGTTTCTGCACTTTTTGGTATTGCCATCCCTACATCATCATTATTTTTTCAAAGTTTTTTATTACTTGTAAAACTGATTAAGAACTCCATAGACTCCATATATTAATTCCTATTTAGAGAAATTAATGTTAAATTAAAATGTATTTTCAACCAGTTTTCTTATTGTTTCAGGTGCAAAAAGCATCTACAATAAACTAATGAAACCAAAAGAAAAACTAAAGAAGCTTTACTTAACAAACGGTTATATCCACCAATCAGTAAACATTCTGGTTGCTCACTTTACTTGATCTGATATCAAACACGTAATCATTCTGGCATAAACAAATAGCTATTTATATCATTACCTACAACTAATTTTGGCCTGATAATATCCGAGTCAAATTTGGAAGAAACGTCACTTTCTTCATAGTTTGTTTCTTTTAACTATGCCTTTTTTTAAAATATTTCGTGAACTTGTTTTGATATTAGGTTTTATATCTGCATGCAATAGCTCAAGAGACCCTTACTCCATTTTATATGGAAAAGTGTAAACTCCTCAGTTTTAGGCACGTTAAGCTTAGTTACAAGAGTGTTCTACCGATGAAAATTAGAAGAGCTGCAAAAGATTTTACGTCATCACAAAAATCATAGGAAAGGCCTTGTTCGTTTACGATTGGAGCAATCTTGAAAGTTTCCGATAATCACTCTTTTGCCAGGATTACAAAATGCTCAAACATTTAAATAATAGAAATGAATTATTAAACCTATTTAAAGCCAGGTTGAAACTAAGTATTAAGAGTAGAAAACAAAAAAGATGTTTTGGCAGAATGAAAAATGAAATCTTTATCAGTTATTTCAGCCGATTAGTTTCGGTAGCACATTTACCATCATCAGGTTGAAACTAAGTAAGCAATGCATTCTTATAAGAAGTGCCTTTAGTTAATATTTTATACATAAATAATTTGACCTTAATCTTCAAAATAACGATGTACTTTCGTAAATTATGTATAAATAGCTACCAAGATTCAGTGTTTCGAAACAACGGTCCTTGTTATTTCAGGTACTCATACTTGAATGTTAAAATATGAACTAATTCAGAAATATGTTAATATTCTGAACGTGAAGTATTTTTTTACTAAACATAACATGTACCTCAAATAGAGTTGGAGGCTAAATATGCACTGTATTGTTGTAATAGAAATTATTCATTTTTGAAATACTCTGTTAAGTTATTCTTATTAATGGGTGGGTTGGAAGTGGGTTGTACTTTATACGCATATGGGCTAGATGGCCAGGTCAACGAACCCTAGCGTTCAGATATAGCTTAATTTTGAAGTATGGTTAGAGTAAATATAGGAAGCGAAAAATAGATGCTACAACAAAGGCTTTATCCGGGCTTTTGAAATGATTAACGGGTTTGAATGTCATTCTTATAATGCACCCTTAGCTGAAATAGCGAAGTATTTTTTATTAGCACTGCGACGCTAAACGTGGGACCTTCGATTCCGCAGCCCTGCATGGTTCTGTCAGAATTCATTTTATTTTAAAATAAAGCACGTTAATTAGAAGGAATTAATCTGAATGATTACCATAAGAATAAAACGAAATTTTAGTATGTAGGGAAATTAAAAAAAACATATGACCAACAACAAATTGATTTCTTTAAATAAATTTTAAAATAAAAGATTATTACTCAAGCCAGAAAATTCACAGTATTATGCTAATCTATGTAAACATTGTTCTGTTGATTTTACCGATAGAAAAGCTTTTGTCATAGGAGTGAGTTAAGGAGAATATTCCTGTGTATGAAACTTCAAAATATTTCTTTTAAAACAAAATTTTGATATAGAAGATAGTGAGAGAATAACCAGTTATAGACTGATAGCGTAATTTACGGTAATAATAATAGACTTATAAAGTGTCAAGTAGTTCGTGATAACCCAAAATGTACAAACTATGTCACATGGAGCTAGCTATAGAGAATGTGTAAAGATTACTGGGTATAAAGAAATTTACATATTAAACTTTGAATGCTGTAAATGTAAAAACAAGGGTACTAAACAAAACTTATGCACTGAATACAACTGGATTTTGAAAAGTTGATAAAAATTATGGATTTTTCAATAACTTTTAATAAATAACATTATTATTTTTTGTATATTATTCTGGTTAATTACCGAGTTTCAAAAGTAAAAAGAAGTGATACTATGAAAGTAGTTTGTTTCCAATAACAATTGAACCAGAACAGGTTTATTATATAGATTGTAAAAGGAATAAAGATGGTAAAAAAATGGTAACTCATCTTCTCAATGATGAGAATTATTGGAATTATTATGACCAAAATTTTATTAACAGAAATTGAAGAATTCATTGACAGTGTAAATTATAATAATATAGTATGTCTTTCTGAAACCAGGTTAAACATTGTGGTTTCTATTTACAGGGAAGAAAAGGGTTTTTATGTGTGCCTAATACACGAATAGTTATCCTTATAAACATGAATGTTAATCATAAATTATTAATATGTTTGTTTATTAATTGAATTTGTTCTTTTATATAGTTTTAGATCGTTATTGGTAAAATCTTTGTTTCTAAACAAAACAAAAACTGATATTGATTTAATGGGGTAAAGTTTTTAATTATATAATAAAACATTTTTAAAATAGTCATTCTGTATTGTAAGCATTATTCATAAAGATAAAGGAAGCAAAACCGTAATAGATCTATTTGATTTGATTTTTTTATTATGTATGATTTCACTATTGAAATATAATGATTCTTCATTATAGTGACGGTAAGATGGCTAACCTGAATATTTTATAGCCATCTTATCGTCACTATAATGAAGAACTGAATATTTCATAGTCATCTCATCGTCACTGTAATGAAGAACTGAATATTTTATAGTCATCTCATCGTCACTGTAATGAAGAACTGAATATTTTATAGTCATCTCATCGTCACTGTAATGAAGAACTGAATATTTTATAGTCATCTCATCGTCACTGTAATGAAGAATTGAGTATTTTATAGCCATCTCATCGTCACTATGATGAAGAACTGAATATTTTATTTACTAGTTATTTCTAGTCCTTGCATCAAAAAATAAAAGTTTATATTTTAAAGTATGAAGATGTTCATAACAATTTTTCAAAAAGTTAACCAAAATGAAAAGCCCTCCAGTGACACAGCGGTATGTCTGCAGACTTGCAACGCTAGAAACCGGGTTTCGATACCCATGGTGGGCAGAGCACAGATAGCCCATTGTGTAGCTTTGTGCATAACTACAAACAAACAACCCAAAATGAAAAGAGAAAGGATTCTGTTAAATGGAACAAATCCAGATAAATTTTGGAAAAAAAAAGTTTAAAACATTTACTAGCAGTTTAATTCAGTTAGAAATTCAGTTTTCGAACAAAATGGTATTACAGCTGTTTGTTTGTTTGTTTGTTTG